GAAACGTATATTAAAGCAAAATTAAAAACTATCTCTAAAAATTGATTTGTATATTTTTCTCTTTCTTTCTTTATTTGGAGATTTGTGTGATTAAACTATGAAATTATATATACAGGGGTTACGGACTCGACTAGTTCTGATGAACTATATCTGTAATCCCCACCAAAAAAAAAGAAAAGTTATCTAAGTAGAATTCGTTATTTATTTATTTATTTATTTGTTTATTTGTTTATTTATTTATTTAATTATTTATTTATTTATTTATTTATTTATATGTATTTACTACCTGTGCAACTTCTACCTTTACCGTTGTTTTTTTTTGTTTTTTTTTGGTGAAATAAATTTCATTCATTCATTAGTCCCCGTTCGGACGCAGTCCGAAAACGGGGACTTATGTTTTGCCCTGTGTGCGTCCGTCCGTCCGTGCGTCCGTCCGTGATCACCTGTATCTCGAACATGCATGGATTAAGTTCAAACTTCACTCATACATCACACATTATATGGGACATATGCACATGCATTTTTTTCATGATCTGATTAACGATAGCCGAATAGCGGCCATTTTAAGGCCGAAAATGCATCAAAATCGCACATTTTCACCATTCCGGACCCGGATCTCAGTTATGCATGGACGGATTTTGTTCAAATTTGGTACATACATTAAACATAATAGGACCTTGATGCACGTCATTTTTTTTTTGGGATCGGGTTCGAAATGGCCGACTGGCGGCCATTTTGTTTTAAAGAATTCAGTTCTGGATCCGTATCTGAGACATGCTTGGTTTGATCGAGTTCAAACTTCACACACACAAGGTACATCATGTCACAAATATGTATGTGCATTTGTTTCATGATCTCATTAACGATAGCCAAATGGGGGCCGCTTTAAGGCCGAAAATGCATTGAAATCGCACATTTTCACCATTCCGGACCCGTATCTCAGTTATGCATGGATGGATTTTGTTCAAATTTGGTACATACATTAAACATAATAGGACCTTGATGCACGTCTTTTTTTTTTCGGATCAAGTTCGAAATGGCCGACTGGCGGCCATTTTGTTAAAGAATTCAGTTCTGGATCCGTATCCAAGACATGTCTGGATTCAAACTTCACACACACATGGTACATCATGTCACAAATAGATATGTGCATTTGTTTCATGATCTGCTTAACAATAGCGGAATGATGGCCATTTTAAGGCCGAAAATGCATCAAAATCACGTATTTTCACAATTCCAGAACCGGATCTCAGTCATGCATGGATGGATTTTGTTCAGATTTAGCACAATGTGTTGTACATATGCAGGTGCATTTCGGTCATGATCTGCTTTGAATGTATATGTCACTCAAATATGAACGGAACGGGGACGTGTCATTGACAATGACTTG